TTTCAAGTTCCAGGGTACATTGCAGAATGTGCAGGTTTGTTACATAGGTAAATGTGTGCTGTGGTGGTTTGCTGCACCTATCAACACATCACCTAGGTATTAAGCCCAGCATGAATTAGCTATTTTTCCTAATGCTCTCCCTCCCCCACCCCACCCACTGACAGGCCCCAGTGTGTGTTGTTCCTCTCCCTGTGTCCATGTGTTCTCATTGTTCAGCTCACACTTACAAGTAAGAACGTGTGTTATTTAGTTTTTTGTTCTTGCGTTAGTTTGCTGAGGATAATGGCTTCCATCTCCATCCATGTCCCTTCTAAGGACATGAGCTCATTCGTTTTTATGGCTCATAGTATCCCATGGTATATATGTACCATATTTTCTTTATCCAGTCTATTATTAATGGACATTTGGGTTGATTCCATGTCTTTGCTATTGTGAATAGTGCTGCAAGGAACATACGTGTGCATGTATCTTTGTAGCATAATAATTTATATTCCTTTGGATATATACCAGTAATGGGATTGCTGGGTCAAATGGTGTTTCTAGTTCTAGATCTTTAAGGAGTCACCACACTGCCTTCCATGATGGTTGAACAAATTTACGTTCCCAACAGCGTAAAAGTGTTCCTATTGCTCTGCAACTTCACCCCATCTGTTGTTTCTTGACTTTTTAATAATTGCCATTCTGACTGGCATGAGATAGTATCTCATTGTGGTTTTGATTTGCATTTCTCTAATGATGAGTGATGTTGCATTTTTTTTCATATATTTTTTGGCCACAAGAATGTCTTCTTTGGAGAAGTGTCTGTTCATGTCCTTTGCCCATTTATTAACGGGGTTGTTCGTTTTTTTCTTATAAAATTGTTAATTTCGTTGTAGATTCTGTATATTAGACCTTTGACATATGGATAGATTGCAAAAATTTTCTCCCACTCTATAGATTGCCTGTTTGCTCTGATGATAGTTTATTTTATTGTGCAGAAGCTCTTTAGTTTAACTAGATCTCATCGTGAATTTTTGTTTTTGTTGCAACTGCTTTTGACTTCGTCATGAAATCTTTGCCCGTGCCTATGTCCTGAATGGTGTTGCCTAGATTTTCTTCTAGAAGTTTTATAGTTTTGGGTTTTACATTTAAGTCTTTAATCCATCTTGAGTTAATTTTCATGTAAGGTATAAGGAAGGGGTCCAGTTTCAATTTTCTGCATATGTCTAGCCAGTTCTCCCAGCACCATTTATTAAATAGGGAATTCTTTCCCCATTGCTTGTTTTTGTCAGGTTTGTCAAAGATCAGATGGTTGTAGACATGTGGTCTTGTTTCTGAGTTCTCTATTCTGTTCTATTGGTTTATGTGTCTGTTTTTGTACCAGTTCTGTACAAAAACAGTACAACTGTTTGGTTACTGCAGCCTTGTAGTATACTTTGAAGTCAGGTAGCTTGAGGCCTCCAGCTTTCTTCTTTTTGCTTTGGATTGTCTTGGCTATATGAGCTCTTTTTTGGCTCCATATGAATTTTAAAATCGTTTCTTCTAATTCTGTGAAGCATATCAATGGTAGCTGAATGGGAATAGCATTGAATCTATAAATTACTTTGGGCAATAAGCCATGTCACTTTTTGATTATATTATTTTTGTGGTAAACTGGATCTGTAACTAAAATTGCAAAGCACTCACAAGTATGTGTATGTGTGTTTTTTTTTTAATGACACAGGTCATTGAGACTGCCTCTTCTCAAAGGGACACTGTCCTCAGCACTTTATACAGCAGTTTAAATAAAGTCATTCTTTATTGCCTATCCAAGCCCCAGCAGTCCCTCTCTGAATGCCTCAGCCTTCTCAGCATCCTGGGCTTTCTGCAGGAGCACTGGGATGTTGTCTTTGCCACCTACAATTCCAACGTCAGCTTCCTCCTGTGTCTCATGCATTGCCTTTTGCTACTCAATGAGAGAAGGTAAGAGCTGCCCACTTGTTTCCTTGCCTGCTGGTGGTCCATGCAGAAAGGAGAGATTTAGAGGGAAGCTTGATTGAGGACTGAGGTCTGTATAAATGATATCATCCTTTTGTTTATCTGGTCTTCCATATTTTGTGAAATGTTTGATAACATGGTAAGTAATCCCCAAACTTGTCCATGTGACAGCAGCTAGAATCATCATGAAATAATAATTTACCCTATTTCTACAATTCTAAGATTGTAAGGTACCTCATTGATTTAATTTTTGAGGCAGAAAATGCCAACATTAGATGTACACATTGATTTTATGATGTAGCCAGATTCTAGAAACATTATCATTTGATAATTACAATCTTAGAATGCAAAAATATAATGTATTGTGCAATGCAGGAATAATTTTGCTTTCAGGAAAAAAATTACATATGCATGCAATATATGACACAAAATGACATCCATAAAAATGCTAGTTAAAAAGCTATTAAATTAAACTTATTTAAGTCCTTTTCTTGAAGCCCAAGTTTGGAAATACATCAGATTTCCAAAACTGAATGTAGTTCATGCACACTGACACAGAGAGAGAGACGGAAAGTGAACATACTTCCCATCTCTCTCTCTCTCTGTGTCAGCGTGCATGAACCACATTCTCCAGCATCTCAGCATCCTGCTGCCTGTGAATATGATGTCTTGTGAATATGATGTCTTATGACTAGAGCTTGAGAGTGTAGAGGGAGAGAGGACTATGGGATGTCACACTTCACTCTTGTCCTTTTCCTTCATTATAGCCATCCTAACAAAAATTATGTTTGATCACTTAAAAAAAAAAACAGTCCTCCATGTCCTGTAGTGCTGACCACTGAACAGTACAAAGCACTAGCATTGACTTCTCATAAAACTCTCTGGGAAGCCTTGGGGAACCCTCCTAGCCCAGAGGAGGCACTTGTGTTTGAATGAAAGAAAATAATCCATTTTCAGTATGTGGTTTAATTTGGGGAGGTTTTTCTTTTTCTTTCTTTTTCTTTTTCTTTTTTTTTCTTCCTGTTTCAGGAGTTAGGCCTCATCCATCCTGGAAGCATAGGTAAAGAGGAGCAGAATGACAACTGAATTATGTGCTTGAGATGATACCTTCCTTAGTTCCCTCTGTTTAGCAAGATTGACTTTATTCTAGAAATTTCAAAAATGGGCATTCTCATATGTCAGGTTATTTTCCTTTCCATGTTTGTCATTTTCAGTTCAATCCATGAACATTTACTGAGTGTCTATTTGGTTTGTGTCATAATGGCCACGTGGACATTAACACAATGGGGACCCCCAGAGCACATGGTTCATGGGAAACCTAATGTATAAACCACTGTGTCCCCACTAAGAACTGGCTACATCATATGTGAGGCCTCCAGCAAAATTAAAATGCGAGGCTTGTGTCCAAAAATACCCAAAATTTCAAGATGATGACAGCAGAGCCCCAAAAAGGGTTCTTCTTAGTGCAGGGCCCTGTGTAATTGCACAGGTTGCACGCCCATGAAGCCAACCCTGGCCCCACTCCAGGCAGGATGAAATCAATGCCAAACAAAGGCAGGGTTTAATGCTTTGGGAATACACTGAAAGAAATGACTAGTTCTGATGGTGGGGAACCAGGAGCAGGCAGAGGGGGCCTGCTGGCAGCACAGGTGGGATTTCACAAGATTTCTCATAAGGAGAAGGTGTTTCTCCTATTATTCAGAATGCCACTCTAAAATATCTGCTGTGGAATTTCTTATAAAGCGTTTGCTTTAATTTGATTAGACAAGTTTTTTTCCATATTGATATAGATAATTATTTGAGGATGATTATTTGTAATAAAGAGCAATGGAATGGTCTCAAGGAAACTGGAGTTTATGGGAATTTAGTGAAAAATCTCTTATCCACTAGTTACCCAGAAGGATTTGGATTGGATCCCAAGCCTAGAATGTCTACTTATCATCAAGTCTTCCTTTCCCCAAATGAAGATGTGAAAGAAAAAAAAGAAGATTTGCCAAGTTTGAGTGATGGTACATTTTATTTGTCATTGTGTATGTGTGTGTGTGTGTGTGTGTGTGTGAGAGAGAGAGAGAGAGAGGGAGGTGGTGACTGGATAGTGGTACCTGCTAGGGTTGCATTCTTCAGTTTGTCCTTCCCAAAATAAGAAAGCAGATACTATTAAGGACATTTTCAAAAAGCCAGAAGACTTACAAATTCCCAGAGTAATCATGTATTAGTATATAGCAAGGCAAGCTGGTAGAAAGTAATACTGGATTGGTCTTTGTATATTAGAAATGAAATGGAAAGGAATGAATGGATGGATAGGTGAAGAGAAAGCTCTGTGGGACTTGGTTTGACTAGAAGCTTAATCCCAGGATACTCTACTGTAAATTAAAACTGTCATGCCCCATCTCACCTAATTTAGTTCAAGTCATTACCTAGTTGCTGCTCAGCTTCATTCCCTAGTAAATGAGAAGGGATTAAATAAACCCATTACTATCTATAAGACTTTTTGCTTAATAGAGTTTATTCTTGAATTTACTAATCTCAAATCAAGTCAAAGGGATTAGCGGTTATTTTTCTAGCAGCCCGTTCTACGTGTTTGAGAGATTATGCTCTCCCTTGGTCCAGGAAGCAGAAGCTCTGCCACTCCTTCTGCCAGTCTGGTTTGCAGACTGTTCCACTTACCTGGTGATATGTTGTGATACAAGATTGTACACACAACCAGGTGCAGTGGCTTATGTACCCCAGCACTTTGGGAGGCCAAGGCAGGTGGATTACCTAAGGTCAGGAGTTCAAGCCAGCCTGGCCAACATGCTGAAACCTTGTCACTACTAAAAATACAAAAATATTAGCTGGGCATAGTGGTGGGCACCTGCAATCCCAACTACACGGGAGGCTGAGGCAGAAGAATCACTTGAACCTGGGAGGCGGAGGTTGCAGTGAGCCAAGATCACGCCACTGTACTCCAGCCTAGGCAACAAGAGTGAAACTTCATCTCAAAAATAAAAGATTGTACACACAGGGCCTCTGTGTTCTGTCAGGTAGCTGCCAAGCTCAAAAATCTCGTGACTTTAAAGTTTATTGGACATGGTGTTGATTACAACATGGATGTACACACTTTGGGACTTGGCTGGTAGAGCTGGGCTGGGCACTGTCCATTCCCTTAGGGTGAGAGAAACAGTCTCCAGGGGCTCATTGGTCCAGAGACGGGACTCATTGGTCCAAGATCAGAAGAAATTTAGGCGTGGTTCAGGGTATTACAGATGTGGGGCACAGCAGACACAGTTGGCTTGTTAGATCTGCTTATACCTGAAGAATTTCAGGGGACTGAAATGGGTGGGTAGTGAGAAGCAAGGTCCAGGAAAGAGGACTGGTTGTTTCCTGAGCTCTGAGCCACAGGATAGCCTTGAGCTTGGTGTCCATTCCCCTGAGTGGTCAACATGTAAGGGAAGGTTGGAAGGAGCTGTTTGAGTGGAGCTATTTGACTACCTAGAGCTCACACAAGGTGTTCCTCTGGTATCCAACAGAATTACAGGGTGGGGAGTGGGGGTCTCTGAACTCATAAATGATATTTCCCAGTCCTAGACATGTGAGGCAGGCAGAAATTGGTGACAGGCAGGTGGAGGTGGAGGAAGGCCAGCTTACATGGGTGTTGGTAGCGTTGTTGTCAGGCTTGTGGCTCTCCATACTGATTGCTTCTGGCTGAAGCTTGCAAAGCTGGGGTGATGTTCAAGACCTTAAGAGAGAAGGGTGTGGGTAAAACCACTCATGACACACCATCTTCCAGCCCTCTCTGGGAGGGTCACTGAGGCCATCCTGAGTGTGCCATGTGCTCTCTCTGCTAGTCCAACACAACATCCAGAAGACAGTGCAGACTCTCTGGCAGCAGCTGGTGGCACAGAGGCAGCAGACCCTGGAGGATGCCTTCAAGATCGATCTCTCTGTGAAATCTGGAGAGAGGGAAGTGAAGATTGAAGAGGTCACACCACTCTGGGAGGAGACGATGCTCAAGGCCTGGCAGCATTACTTAGGTCTCTATCCACTCGGCCCAAGGGAATGGGAACTCCTGGGTCTCACAGAGCCAAATTCCCCCAAGGTTCTACTCAGGGCCCAGAGCCTTTTCCACCTAGACCCTCTGTCTCATCCCTTAAGTGGATAGGATTTCTATCATTGAAATCTTATGTATCTTTCCTTACAAAGAATGAATATCACATGGCACCTTAGGTGAAAGCAAGGCCAGAGGGGCCAACCAAGCAAGAAGATTCCAGCAATTTCTTAGAGGAAGAGGCCCATGTGGAGGCTGTGGCCTGGGCTCAGGAACTTGAGGTTCTATGTCCTACCCTGATATCCACCTACCAGCTTTCAAACCTTTCACTAAGTCATGCAATTACCTTGAGCTTAGGTTCCTCATGTCCTGTCACTTCATGAAGTGAAAGTTTTCATCCCCAAAATATTAATGTCTCTTGCATTCTGTTAGTGACCTCAACATTTTTACCATATTAATATTTGGTACTAATAAACAATATTTTTGCATATTAGTCAATGCAGCTGCAAGAATGAAGTTTTAATTTTGTTTTCAAGGTGATCACTGTTTTCAACTTACACCTCCTATACTTGTACATCTTCCAGAATCACAAAATTTGCAGTGATTCAGGAGTTAGTCATTTCCATGTGTATTGTCCCAGACTGTCCAGTGGTCCAGAATCTCCTTCTAATTGGCTTTCTAAATTAGTCCTGGCGGATGTGTATATACATACCTGGTTTTGTCCATTTATGCTGCCATAACAAAATACCACAGACTGAGTGATTTACAAATAATAGAAAATTATTTGCTCAGTTCTGGAGGCTGGGAAGTTCAAGATCAGGGTGCCAGTAGATCTGATGTCTGCAGAGGGCTATGTCTGGCATCTGCTTCTAAGATGGTACCTTGTTGGTGTATCCTTTGGAAGGGAGAAATGCTGTGTCCTCCCATGTTGGAACAGACAGAAGGGCAAAAATGGCCTGGGATGGTCCCCTTCAGCCCTTTTATAAGACACTAATTCATTCATGAGGGTAGAACCCTCATATTTTAATTACCTCCCAAAAGGTCCCACTTCTTAGTACCACCACAATTGGGATTACGTTTCAACATGAATTATGGAGGGAACACACATTCAAACAATAGCAATACCTATCTACTTTCATGTACTTTTAAAGTCAAAATGGTCAGATTCTATTTCAGAGAAGAGTAAAATAAAATAGGATATACATATCTATGCACATACAGTGGAATAAAGTAGTAAAACTGTAAAGCTTACAAATGACTCTCTTTTTGCTAACAATCCTATATTGAACACTTTCCATGTTCCAGGGTCTTTAAACACATATCTTATATAATTTTCATGATGCCTCAATTAGTTTAGATATTGTTATCCCGGTTTCACAGGATGAGAAAACTGAGGCTCAGCAACTTTAGTTAACCTGCTCACCATCTCACTGTGGGTCAACAAGCCGTGGAGCTAGGAGTTTAGGCTAAGTCTGGTGACCTCAAAGCCCACAGTGTTTCTTAGCCAAAGGAAAGTCAGAAGACGGCAGTGTGAGCTTGTAACCTGGGTTGTTTCTGTTTTTGGAGGCAACCACAGGGGGCTCATGCCCCTGGTTGGCCCTTTGAAAGCCAAGCTAGCTATGAAAAATAGTGTGTGCTCTCACTTCACCTCTGACATTCTTTGCTTCCCTGCCCTCAGCATCTGAGAAGAAGTCACTGGCAAGTCGTTCAAATGTTGCACACCACAGCAAAGTCACTTTGTGGAGCGGAAGCCTGTCCTCAGCCATGAAGCTGATGCCCGGGCGGCAGGCCAAGGACCCTGAGTGCAAGACAGAGGTGAGCCCAGACCCCTTTTCCTTAGAAAAGTATCAGGCATTTGCTTCAAACCCCACGAGTCGTATCTGCTCTCCGCTGCCTGTTACTAGACATGATCTAACTCCATGTCCTTGTGAGCATTTGAGGGTATGCATGTAGCTCCCCAGTTGAGGCCAGGTTTAGGCTGTATTAGGCTGGCTCCTTGTTCCCATTCTCAACTGGAGTCAGACATATTCAGAGGGCACTAGCCAACCACTCAGCAGCAGCTAGGGGTGTGAGCCCAGCAGAGGTGGACAGAAACATTCACTTCATTGCCAGGAGACACAGGGATGGGCCACTTTGACTGTGTTGGGTGGGCCCTCTTTACTGTGTGGGGCAGACCTGTTGGGGTTTTCTGATCAATTTCTCAAAACTGCAAAACAAGTCTTCCTAAAACTCATTGGCTCCAACAAGGTTTGTGTGTGTGTGTGTGTGTTTATGTGTGTGTGTGTGTGAGATCAGGAACATTGTTGTAAGGTATTTGGAGTACAGTGGGTAGGGGAACAGGTTATCTCTGCCCCTTAGTGTCTGGGGCCTCAGCTGGGATCATTGGAAGGCTGAGTTACTCATATATCTGGTGGTTGCTGCTGGCTTTAGTCTGAGATCTTAACAGGGGCTATTGGCTGGAACACCTACACATGGCCTCCTCATGTGAACTGGGCTTCCTTACAGCATGGTAGCAGGGTTTCAAAGGATAATGGAGAGAGAGAGCTCACCAGGCAGAAACTGCATTACCTTTTATGACCTAGCTTCAGGAGCTATGCAGTGTCACCTCCAACAAGATGGGCAAAAAATTCTGCCAAGTTCAAGGGAAGGGAAATAGACTCCACCTTCTCATGGGGGAGTGATGAGGTTCTGCAGGAACATGTGGGACTGGAAGTGTTGCTGAGGCTCTTTTAGAAATGCATGATCTGTGATATATTCTAATACCAGTGATATATTATAATGCCAGGGGCACTGACTTCTTCAGAGGTGGACTGTGGTTGTTGCTAAACATGGCTGTAGGGTCAGGAGACTTTGAGCAGTTTATTTAACTCCCCAGTGGGATAAATAACTGTGGGAACCCAGGAAAGTTCCCCGGGAAGTTAAAGTAGACAGCTGACAGACACATTAACATAATCCCAGCTCTTGGCCCATGAACTTTGGGAAATGAGGTGGAGCCCAAATCCCACCAGCTCATAATCTGTAACTGCCTGTAAGTGCCCAGGCAGATGAGGAAAAGGGCTTTCTTTTTCCAGCCTTTGGGAATCACAGGCTTCAGGGCCTGGAAAGAGTCCAGACATAGAAGGGAAGTCCAGAAATGAATGGCTGGCTGACCAGCTACCTGATGCTAAGAACTAAGGGCAAAGCACACGTCTTATTCAGGCTCTATTCTAAGGAAATTGACTTGTTAAAGGCACTGTTTGGTAAGTTCATTGATAGACTCACTGATTGAATACATTAATGTGTGAGTAACTCACTCAGATTTTATAATAGCTGCATCAGACAGGTATTATAGACTTGTTGATAAAGATGTGGAAACTGAACCTGAAAAAAAAAAAAAAGAAAGTTAAGGACTTTTCAGCCATTAAATGTCACAGAAGATGGGATCCCATCTTTGTGCTGCTGAGGAGGACCTTAGGGAATTTGTGGAACCTCTCAGAGCTTTCATTCCTGAACTTACAACTGGGAATATGCTCTGTTTATAGTAGAGCATGTGGAGCCCTGGGAAGCTGTAAATGCTTTAGAAATAGGAGACTGTTTACAAATTCCATTTGGCCTTCTAGCTCTCTCTGCCAAGGTCAAGATCATCCTAAAGGTGATATGTGTACCAAGCCCTAAAACTTGGAGCACTCCCACTTGTGCCCAGGTACCTGCTCCTGACCAATGTCACTTGAGACAGAAGGGGCCCAGCCCCTCTTTCCTTGGCTTCATCCTGGAGTTTCTCTTCCTTGACCAGTGTCCCCAGGAGGTCAGGGCAGCCTGGCTGGGAGCTAGGGAAGAGATGTTAGGGTGCTGGGCATGGGTATTCATCTCATCACCTCACACCTATTGATGCTGCCTCTTGCCAGTGCCCCTCTCCCTTACCCTCTAGTCACTGTCATTGACACAGGTCAGCTGCCTCCAAGTCCTGGGGACATGCATTGAGCAACAGCTCATATGAAAGAAGCCTGAGTAGACCGCCACGTTTGGGGCCACATAGGTGTCCCAAGTGGCTTTTAACAGTTTGCTCTTGGCTCACATTGAGAAATCTGGGAGAAAGAATATCCAAAGCCAGCTCTGTCTTGGGTGAGGGCAGGCTGTTGAAGATTTTGTCTTCTACATGCATTGAGGTCTTATTCATTTGTTCATTCAACAAATATTTATTGAGCACTTACTCTGCACCCTGCTCTCAACATTGAGGTTACAGCAGAGAACAAAACTGACATATTCTCTTCTCTCAAGGAGCTGCAGTCTAAGGAGTAAAGATAGACAATAAGCAAATACATTTGTAAATATTGGGAGAACTAATGGCAATGAGGAAAAACCATGCAGGGTAAGGCAGGGAGGGTGGCAAGAGATGGGCTGGGCTGTTTAGATGGAGAAGGTCAGCAAAGCCATCTTTGGCAAGGATGCATTGGAGCAGAGGAGAGAATTTATGAATAACGTGAGCTTTGAGATGCTCTGGGAAAGAGGGTCAGACAGAGAGGACAGTTGGGCAATGGCACTGAGGTATTGGTGTGCTGGGCAGCAAAGGTCAGTGTGACTGGACTGAAGTAGAGAGATTCACCCGGAGCCACCCCAGCTTCCAGGCAGCCATGGGGAATATCTCCCTCACCGTTTAGCACCAGGAAGAACTACTTTCAGCAACTCAAGAAGAGCAGAAATTTTGCAACAGATTATGTTTCTGTCTTTGATCTGGACACTCAGAAATTCAGAGAGATAAGCATGGTTCAGCTTTTGTAATTGCACACAACTAGTGGGATAAATTTTTGAGCCACCTACGCATGTAAATGTGTACATACATACCTTCTCCCTGGCTTCGTTCTCCATTGACCCCCACTTTCCCTTCAGTTTGATTTATTCTTTGTACACTTTAAATTATCTTGTAGCTATTAAAAGACAAATGATTTTTGAAACAAAAAGAACTGTGTTTTAATCTTTAAAATTAACTGCATCTTTGCTTAGCAACATCTTGTACTGGTAACTCAGTCTTGGATGGGCACAGTGCCTGCTACACGGTAGGCCCTTAAAGAATGCAGATGGAAGTGCTTAGAGCAAGGGAGTAGACGCTCCCCCTCCTTTTGCTGAGATGAAACTCACCAGCTTTCAGACACTGCATCCATCACTCAACTCCGTGAGATGTCTTTGTCGCTAACAGAAGGCACAACTTCTCAGGTACATATGTACACTGTGATGTCATAGGATAAGAGCATCAACTATTTGCCCTGGGGTCTGTTTAATTATTTTTAAAAATTAATTTTGATTATTACAGCTGATTACACCTCAGTGAGCAATGTAATTGATATTTTCTAATGTATCCCAAGGAACATTTTGTACAACATGCTTTTTGTTGTTGAAGGTTAAAGACTCCGTTATTGGTTTTTCCCTAAATATACCCACATCATTAGTCCCTCCAGTGAGAAGGTCGCCATCTGGAAAAAGCAGCACGGAGACATTATTCAGGCACAAGTGCATGAAATTGGGGTTTCTGCATCTTCTGTCTCTCTTCTGGAAAGAAGAGGCTTGTAATTAAAGGAGTTGGTATTGGAGGAAACATTATTCATTTGGTGTTATTCCTTATCATGTCAGCAGCTGACAACCCTATAGCACTGATAAATTGTTCCTTGGAGTGAGACATATGATACAGAATTCTTAATTCCTCTTACCTATCTTCATTTTTAGTAGAAAATGTTTTATTCCTGGTGGGTGAGCTGAACTTTGAGGCAGGGTTGATTTGATAGATGTTATTTCTTCTTCTTCTCCCCCTGACCCCATCACAGTCCCTTGTGGGAGCAAATTGTGACATCACCCACCATCCCTAGAAGGCTGCGGGTGTCAGCTTGTTGGACAGAGGTTGGGAACTTGGACTCCCTTGAGGCCACCAAAGGGCAACTCAGGCCACTTTCTCATGTCCACCGTCTGCCTGGGGAATCCAGACTACGCAGGCTGGCCAGCTCCCCTCTTCGCAGCTTTGGACTCAGCTTTGATTACCTATTCAATTCCAGACTTCCTTGTTTAAAAACAAGCTGAAAAGACATCAACAACCAATGTTGGTTTCTTAGTTTTGACAGGTACACCATGGCAATGTGGGATGTTAATAACTTTATGGGAAAACAGCTGAAAGGTAGATGAAAACTCTCTACTATCTTTGTAACTTTTATGAAAATTGAAAATATTCCAAAATACAATGTGTGTCATCATCTGTTTATATAAAAGCATTAGTAATCAGAAAATGTGCACAGGAGTCAGGAGGCTAGAAGCTGGTTAGGAAGGGGCCATGGAGGAGGTGACGCCTAGACCTGAGTCTGGGAGGAGCAGCGGGGTCAAAGCCTGTGCAGAGGAGAGCTCTCAGGCAGGGAGAAGGCCAGAGGCATAACAGTTGGTAAGAAAGGGGCCAAGGCAGTGAGTAAAAGCCAGGTCAGGGGGCACCACCGGCCAGCCTAGACACTCACATTTACTTGTAGGTGGGAGGTTAAAGAGAGGCATGGCATCTGCTCCTATAGGTGAGATTACAGGTGAGGGCCCCTAGTGGGGAGCCGAACTGGGGGTGGCGGGGGGCTGTAGGGTGATTCAGGTGGGAGATAGTGGGGGCTGCAGTAGCTGTAGTTGGAGTAGTGAACATCAATAACACACAGAAAATTCTGTTCAACTGAGGCTGGGACAGGTGAGAAAAGAGGGCCACCCAGGACAGGCCTGGCTCTGAGAAGAGACGGCACCTGGGGGTAGGAGGTCTGGCATTCAGATGGCTCTGTGGGATTCTGCAGAGAATGGGGAGAAATAAGAACCAGAGGAAGGGGCTGAGAGTGCAAGGCGACTTCCAGCCCTTAAAGGGGTAGGAGCCTCTCTGGGCAGCCCCCGACCTGTGTACATAGAGCATGAGCTAGATTTCAGCCCACTTTCCCCCTGGGATCAACTGTACACATGTGGACAGCTATCCCAGGCAGTGAGCCAGGCAGGCCCCACCACAGGAGGGAGACCCATTCACCAGCCTGCCAGCAAAGATTGGGGGACTTACAGAAGAGCAGGATTCACATGGAGGAAGGCAAAGCCCTTTGTTCCCCACAATTCCATGGCTTTAGGAGATAGCTGAGCAAGCATCCAGTTGCTGTTTTCAAAGCCATGTATTAGCAAACTGAAATGGCCCACCTAGGGAAGACCACCTAGGGAAGTCAGGGCTGTGTAAGAATTAACAGAAGGGGATGAGAGGGCACCAGAAGCCTGAGGATGATCCGCTGGAGTTGCTAAAAAAAAGTAAAAGCTTTCCATAGGAATTCTACATCTGCCCTGGCAAGAACAGGGGAACGTTAGAAATTTGCCCCACCCCTTTCTCGGGGGTCCCCTAAAGGCTGCCCTATGAGGCCCACCACTGGGGGCCTTGAAGACTTCAGAGGCAGGGCACTTGTGTGGGCAGGGTGCCTGGGGTCTGCCATCAGCTCCTTCCCTGACCAGGTGCCAGACCCGCCATCACCCACCCTAGCATGGAGCAGCTCTGCCCCAGCAGAGGACAAGTTGCTGACTGAGGCCAGCAACTCGGTGACTCCTCTGTTAAGGGCAGCTCTGGCTGAGGTCCTTAGTGAGGGAAATGATGTTTTTGACTATCCCCTCTGAGCACTTCACCCATTATCTTTATAAAAAATCACTGTGGAAATTTTCAAACATATACATAAGTAGGAAAATAATGTGATGAATCCCCATGTATCTATCCATCACTTGACTTCAACAATTTTCAACTCATGGCCAATTTGCTCTCCTTATCACTTCCCACTTTCCCCTTCTGCACTGAATAATTCTGAAGCAACATCCCAGACATCGTATTATTTCATGCATTACTGTTTCCTATACTTATTTTCTCTTCAAAGAAATCATGGGACCCAAATTAAGATTGCAGAGGGGAAAGCAAATGTGCAGAACTGGAAGGCTTTAGCCATCATTGCGGGAGTGATCAAGAAGCACCTGGTCTTGCTTGCTGGCATGTTTGTGTTTGTCTCCTGCTGATGAGAGGAGGGTCTTGCTGAGGCTGAGGGCACGTTGAGCCTTGGAGAATCCCACGCTGCAGTTTCAGGAAGAAAGGCAATAAGCTCTGCTGATGACACAGCTGCTTTCTAGTTGAATGCTTGAGCTCTCCATGTTCAGGAGCTGAGCAGCACTCCAGGCGCAGGCCTCAGATTTCACTTCCCTGGGATAAAAAGCTCATGAGACCAGAGAGTACTGGGAGTGAGAATAGATTTTTGAAAATAGAAAGAACTGGCTTTGAAATACAGGGGTAGTAAGTGGTACAACAGAGCTGAGCTGAGGATGTCGAAATGCAGTTGTGAAAACAGAAGTCAGAATTCTCAGAGAAATTCTTCTGAAAAAGAGTTAAAGATCTTTAAGAGGTTGCAGGACATTTTTAAAATCGGATATTCAGAAGGTCATCATGTGAAATATTTTTACTTAAAGTTGCAGTACATTCAACATAATGTTTGTAGGCAAGAAAGAAACGTCTTCCCCAGGAGATGAATATGACTTTAAGAGAGGGATTTGGAGGTAGGTGGCCTAAACCTGAAGGAGAATAAAGACACATGAGGATTTCTAAAATGGAAGAGTCAGAGGACCCAGAGAGAGGCGAGATCTTGAGACAGGTTCTTGCTGGCGTGGCAGGAGAGCAGAAAGGCCAGCTTGTATTCACAGATCAAGAGAAAGCAGGTTGGAGGGATAAATTATTGAAAACCACAGAAAAGACAAGGGAGACTCAGAAAACCTGAAAACAGTGTTTATAATAAATCACAATGCTGTATTGTTGGAAAACCCAGTTGTGTTCAGTGGTAGGAAGAGTCTTTTGAATAAGTAATTAAATAGGACTATCTGTTAGAAACATAAAACCACTCAGAAACAAAGGAAAGTATAATTTAAAAAACACTTTGAAAAGTATAAACTGCTCTACTGGCGTGAGTGATGTTCTAAGACCTTCTGCTAAATGGAATATTGGTTTTCTTAATTGTGGTGGGCAATGCTGCCAAGGACCTCTTTGCTCTTGGTGCTTTTCCTGAGATAACTGACCCTAAAAATAATGCCTCTCTCCCCAGCCTGGTCTGAGAGCTCTTCATCGTGCTGTCAGGGCTAGGACTATTTCCAGATGGGATATCCATTATGCTCTGATTATGGTGGTATTTGGGGGCAAGGAAGGAACAAAAAAGTAATGAAGTCTAGTGTTTATTTTTTAAACCTCAAAATTTCTGTTTTCATTTCAACTGAAAGTAAAGTCTATGTGGCCTGTATCATTGCCCTCAGTTTTGCAGGCAGCTGTGCTTCCTACACCACACCCAGAATGACCTCCCCAAGAGGGACAGAGTCTGGTGATGGAGGTGGGGACACACTGTAGCATCAGGGAAATGCAGCCAGGCCGGGGTGGTGGGGAGGGGCTCCGTTATTCTTTTAGGTTTTCTGGACACTCAACCAGAGCCTTCTCTCTCATTTTTGCTCTTGCCTTGACACACACACACACACACACACACACACACACACACACACTCTCACACACACACACGCACAGACACGCACACACTCTCTGTCTCTCTCACACACACATATGTACATGCATATCCCCCCTACACATACACATAGACACATCCCATTGTGCAAGCAATTTGTGTTAGAATTCACCTATCACACCAGAGAGAAGGAAGTGGGAAGGAGTCTGATCAATTGTACTGGAAACTCAGCAGCAGAACTGAACAAGGACGAGAGTTCCCTACAGCCCAGATTTTGAAAAAGTGGCAACATCACCAGTATAGCATTAGTATCCAGAATAAGAGGAAAGGACAAGAGCTGGATAAAGAAAGACAGTGGTTTTTCTTTTTCCATTTGAAGTGTCTCTGGTCTATCACAAGTATCTGTTACAGGAGTTTGAAAAATACATGTAAATGAACAAAGCAAACACTGATACCTTTAATGATGTTTCTTTACTGGGTGCTTCATTTGTGAGACATCTTTATCTTCATAATAGAAGGATAATTAACATCACTAATTATCTAATTAAGTTCATTAAGCATCCACCAACAGAGCACCGTGAAGTTGACATTATGTTCTACTGTCAACAAATGCTTTTGATTTCTTAGGAAGTAATTAAAATGTAAATTAGCATGCAATTATATGCACAGGGGAAGTTTTGAATCAGATATTCATTTCAAAACTGCTTAGAGCAACATAGTTTTTGTTTATTTCTTCTTCAATAAAACTAGTCATTTTGCTGCTAGTGGTATAAAAGTTTCCATTGGGCTGTTCACGCTGGAGTGGTAGCAAGGTAATAGTACTATAGGGCACAGACTGTTCCGTTGATATATTTGTTACTGCACTTTGTTTATATTTGTGTCCTTCATGTTTAAATATATCACAACTGATTTTTTTTTTCGGAAAAGTTTCTGCAATTTCTGCCTTAAATTCTGTAGCTGAGCTTTCCCTTTAAAGGTATTTTACGGCAAATCTTCTAATGTATGTTTTCTTTCAGGTTAGGCTCAGGGAATATCATCCACGACTTGCTGAAAATAGGTTACACACATTCCCCTACCTATGCAGGAAAGAGAAACTGCACATATCAAACTTCAAGTCCAGCCATCCTTAGTTGTAAGTTCACATTTTCCTGATTTCTTAGGGCAGAGAGCAGACACAGAGCTTGTGCAAGTCCTGTGAATCAATGGAATATTCTCCATCTGAGATCATGATGGCTTCTGATAAAATATTGTAAACAGAATGGGTGGACTGTAGTGCTAAATGCAGT